TCAACACTTGGTTCTCCTCTCTGCCTCATTTTTCCCATGTATCAAATGCTTAATGCAGTGCCATGGCAAATAGAGTTAAACTGAGATAAGAATGGGTGCATGTGCATAGGCACATAACATTGTGAAAGAAAGACAGGGGGGTGAGAGCAGAACTCTATGCCCATCCCCTTAGCAATCCCTGCTTAAGACATTAGCCCCATTCCAACATCTTGCTTGTGTACTACTTTATGTACTATGCTCCTGTTTTAAGGAAAAATTGTATTCCAGTGCACTTTGCTCCATTAGTCCCTTCTCTTTTGATCCTTTGTGCAAAGATTTCAGGCTTCTCAGTAGAAAAGGGGACTCTACCACTTCAGCAGCAGTAGTTTGTACAGAGGGCTGCTTAGGAGATCTAGGGATCTTACAAAGGAGAGGAAGTTAGTAGCAGGGCCAAGGGGCCTAAGCAATCAAAGAGGAAAGAACATAACCCTCTACTCCAGGGATTCCACTTTAAGGGGAAGAGAAATTGATCCCAATGGGCTTTAAAAAGTATGTGTGGCGGGGAGGGATTCAAAACATACAGAAGCCAAGGTAGTATGGCCCCATTAGAACTGGTAGAGCAGTCAATGAAGTATCAGCTCAGGAAACAAGGTCTGAGCACAGGTAAATCTGACCCATCTCCTCCCCTGCCCTTGACCCAGGCTGTGATCAATGGGTCACAGCCCATTGAGGAGAGGCATATCCTCCTCATCCCTTAAACAGTGATCAGGATCAAAGGTCAGGCAATTCTTCCTCTGCACCCTCCAGTGAGTTTCATCACAGGAAGGGGTAAATCAGTCATATTAACTTTTATTCAGTTTTCAGATGTGTTTAAATGTAGCACTATTGAGAGGTTGAGGTCTTTACCTGTTAAACCAATCCATACTGAGTTTTGATTCTAAGCTTAAACATCATGGACAGATCCTGCTGGTTCTATGATTCTCTTGGAAATACTGCAAAATCTTTGTAATTTGACCTGTTTCTGGCTGTGTTGGTTACAAAGATAACACATTTTATATTTTAAAGGCTAACTGAAATGGTGTGTTTGTGCCTCAATCCAAAGACAGCAGCAGTAAGTCTCAAAGGTGAGCTGTCTCGCTCTTTTCAAAGAATGATAGCCATAAAACCCAACAGTACTGACATCAACATCAGTACTCATTTCACTTCTGCTCATTATATCAACAGTACCAAAACCTCCAGCTTCCCAATGACGATATTTATGATATAGTTATGCGTTACAGCTTATGAAACTTGTCAATACAAAAAGCTGTGACAGACTGAAAACCAAAGTTATACAGTAGATAAAAATCTGCCCATTAAAAGGATTATTACATTGACATATTTCATTTTAAACCTTTGCTTTCAAATAATACGAAGCTGCTACAAAACTTACAAAATGTCCAATGAATCCAGTGATCAGAAACCAATGAACTTGCAGCAGAATTGCCTCTGAGTACAGTAATTTTATATTAAACGCCTGAGTCAGCTGTACTACCATAGACAGGACCTTTCTTTCACAATAGGGTGAACAATCTTTTTAGAGGACCTTATACTGTATATGGGATTGTGGTTGTAAAAATTCACTGTTGGTAGATTTGTGAGTTAGTCTGCATTACATCACGGCCCAGCTGAGATTTTGTGTGCATAGTAAGTCCGAATCTCTGCCCACAACAGCTTTCAAGCTATGATGTGAAAAAGAGGGTGAGACAGGGAGTAAATCATCTCTATTTTTTATGTCGAGAAGTGAAATGCAAAAGAGTAACTGACAGAATCAGGTACAGAACAGATCTCCCAATCTCAGCCAATATCCTGAGTACAAAACTATCCTTTCTCCCTCTGAATCCAAATTTCTGTAGAAGCTTAATGCAAGTGAACAAACAGGTTGTGAGACTGAGAATTGTATGATTTGTATTTTAAAGTTTAAATAAGACAGTGGTGGTCTGTCTTGGAGAATACTTCATCTCAACCAAAAAGTCTGTCTTGGACACAGCGGTTTTGTTTCCCTAAATTGTTCTATTCAAAAATCAGTCCATCCACTAGCAGCCTATTACATGCTGCTGCTACTTTAACTAAAACATCACACACTATCTCCCTCTTTTGTAGCAAAGCATAGCATCAGGGTATCATACAGAGCAGCATGGCATTTCAGGAAAAAGACTTTGTCCAGGTATTTAATAATTCCCCAGAAGACAAAGCCTGCAAGTAAAGTTGACCAGACTGAAAAAAGTGCTTAGTTACAGTCAAACTACAGATTATCATAGATAATCTTTTTTTTTTTTATGATTAAGAAAACCTTTTGTAATATACATGGCATGTCACTTTTTCTCTATTACAAAATGTCTTTATACATTTCAGTGTTCCCCCACTTAGGACTCGCTGGATTATCTAGTTTTAAAACTTTGATTGTGCCAAGCCAATTTCAGCCAGATACTTCTGCAAGTTTTTAAAGTGGGGCCATTAGAAAGTTATTTTCAAACCTTGACTCTTTGGAGCAATTTTTCAAGGGAGGACACAGTGAACACCCTCCCCAGAAACCCATATGTGCCTGCACTACATATAAGAGAGTAAAGCAATCCTGTCTGATTTTCCATCACTTCTCCATTCTCTGTCCCAACTACAGATCTCTGGGGCTTCCAGATATTCCAAACAGCTAAAGCCGCTTATAGGCTCCACTCTCTGGAACATTTATACTCAATATTATGTAAATAGGCATTTCTACTCATCACATGCAACAAAAAGCAAATTACCATTTTTACTCATTTATAGTTCTGATAATCCTAAAAAGAATGTCATGGGACAAGCAAAAGGTACACCTCTTGCCCCAGGGCTTTGTCCCTGCCAAATTTCCGAGGCCTGTTACCAACATGGAAAGCCTTAGAGCTTCCAAAAAAAGAGGCGCAAGAGCAAGGTTTTTTTGGGGGGGTTTGGTTTTTTTTGTTTTTGTTTTTTTGGGGGGGGAAAGGGGTTAAATAGAAAGTGTGAGGCAACCTAAAGCAGAGGTTGCTACCAGTTCTTCACCCTCTCTAATTATAAAGGCATGCACACTCCAGTTGGGTTTGTATGGGGATTTTTATGGCAACTTCAAAAGAAAAATAAAATTACCGAACAACAGTTCTTACTGGCAGAGTTCCACTCCAGTGATTCAGAATCTGCCTCAATCACTTCAGTGACCTAAAGCCATTTAGGCCATTTTAATTTTACCAGCAAGCAAGCAGGAAAGGGCTTCCTAAGTAGGACTATGAACTCCTTGCTAACACCCTGACTTTATTTTAAACATTTCTGGAAATCCATTAAGTACATTTCCAGTATCTCAAAAATAAAAAGGGCTTTCAGATACTCTTTTTAGTGAGTTCAGAAAGCCAAAACACCCCAGTGGGTGGGAGAAATGTTATACTGATATGATTATGAGTCACTGAAGTTTTGGTTGAATCTGGGCCATTTATTTGAAAATCTGCTGTCCCAAAATGTTTCCTAATTTGCAAAACCCCCCTTTTTAACTGGAGATCTTTTATATAAATTTGTTTCCATCACTTTATTCTCAGGAATTTTTCATGTTGGCCCTAGTGTAGCATGATGCCTATAACATCCAAAACAGAGGGCTCCAGGATGTCTGCCATAAGAAAATATATTGGCTTGCTTTATTTTTAAACACTAATACAGTTGGCAACCATGAGGCCATGAATGACATGATTTACAAGTTTGTGGGCCAGACAAAGAAGGATCAAAAGATTATCTGCAAGCAAAGAGTCAACGTTTTAAACTAAGGAAATAGGAACAGCAAAAGCCTCATATGTATCCTTCCCAACTCTTTCCAACAGTCAAAGGTAAAACAGCAGACACACAGGGAAATCTTCTACCATAGCTCCCTCTAAAGGACTTAGAATGTAATCATGTGGAACAAGTAAGAAAATTAAGACTCAGAACTTACAAATATTTTTTTTTCAGCCGGAAGAATGTGTAATTGGGTTCTCCCCTCTGCTTTGTGATAAATGGGAAAAAACCAAGAGAATGTGAAATTGATTTCTAGCTATTACTTCTGAATTAAATTTTTAGAAGTTTAAAGCTTATGGCAATTTTTTTTTTTAAGATATAGATGAGTCCTCTTGAACGAAAAACAATCTTGATTAAATGTAGACCATTTTGCACATCCTTTCCTTTATCCTTTCAACTCACTGCCTAAATAATCTTCACTTCCTTCAGCATTCTCTTTTATTGTATTTCATTTTTCCTTAGCACCCCAGTAACTCCTCTCCCTCTGAGCCTGCATTCAGAAGTGACACTTTCTCCCAGACACTTAAAATGAACAGCTCTCAACAGTTGCACTTAATATTTTCACTGTTAGGGATAACTAGTCCCTATCCAAGAAGATAATTGGGAATTAGAGTGTCATTTTTGGTTGCAAAAAGGATCTTTGCAGGAAAGAGGTGGCTCAGAAATTGGCAAGGCATAACAGGCTCTGCCATCTAGGTCCTAGGAAACAGGTGTCAGATCAGTACATTAGTTATGATTAAGTACCTTCAACTGCAGTCCGATTGCCTTTGTCAGCTCAGTTACTTCTCTTGGTCTTGTTCCTAAGTAACTGGAGTCTACATCATAACACAGTGTTACTGGTTAACCATGTGGTCTGTTCTTACAGAAGCTATATGAATGAAATTTTAATACTACTAGTCCTAAAGACTGATATTGCAGTATCTCCTCACCATGGTGTCCATCTATTTTTAATGGTTTCCAGTCTCTTCTTTACGATTAAGATTGTCTATGAGTATAGGAACAGCTGGATTCAAAGAGGAGGGGTAAAAGCACATGACTAACTAGTTCTATAAGACCACCAGTGGGACATGGAGCAACGTTTGGAAACTCTAAGAAACATCAATTACACTGACTTCTCTTTTTGACAGACACCTGGCTCCCCTCTCTGGAAAGGAAAAGAAATATGACAGAAGATATAGTT